TTATGCCATCCGTCTTATAAATTCTCAAGATCCACCACCACCACCACCATGTATATGTATGCATTCGAACTAGACTGTGGTTTCTCTGTGTCATATATGTGTGTGTATATGGATATATGCATAATGACAATCCTTTGAGAGCTGAAATGCAATGAAATTTCATTTTAATGTGTGCTGATTAGTGTACATTTAAAGTTCTATTCTGTTGTTCTGTTCTATTCTATTCTTTCTCATCAATCATAGTGTTGGAAGAAATGTACATCTGGGTTCAGTTCCAAGTGGGGGAAAAGACACTGGAAACATGGAGGCTGCTTGGAAAGGTGGTTTAATGGTGGACGGGATCACATGCCTTGGAGCTCCTGGGTGAAATGGGAAGAGATACTGAGAGTCCCTGGGTTTTATGCCCTATCTGGGCTTTGAACTTCCTGGAACACAGGAAGAATATCCTGATTGGTTGCCATCAGAGGTCATAGCTAGCTTAGTAGGTTGTCTGTCTGCTAAGTTTGGTTGAAAGCTGATGGGTGGTGCAGTGAAGGGCAATGAAATGGGGTAGATCTTTGTTATGTAGAATAGACTCACACAGGTATTAACGGCCCATTAACAAAGGGGTGTATGTGTGAGTTTCTGCCTCTCTTGAGTTTCTACTTCTCTTTTCAGGGGAAATATTCTGCCCTTTTAATATTTCCTACAATATTTTCCTAGGAGAGTGGTAGGTGCTAACTTCCTACAATAGTGGTAGGATAGTCATTCCTGCTCTAAGTTACATTGTCACCTAACAGCAGGTAAGAATTATTCGACTGATTCACATGTAACACTAAATCTTCAGGGAGCATTCCAACTTCCTACTAAGCAATCAAACCACATAAAACGATTTAGGGATAGCACAAAACCCAGTCAAAGAGCCACCTGCAAAATCTAAGTGCAATTCAATTGCAACCCATAAGCGCAGATTACATGAAACCACAGGAAGCTTCACATGTTTAATTTTGTGCAGGTCTTAATTTTGCACCTTCCCATTCATTTGCGTCTGATGCATGTGACAACGATCGTCCATTGCAGCGTACACGTGTCTCCCATCAAGACTATCCAGTTGTGAGGACATTGTACAATGCTGGGATTGCTAATGGTGCACCCCACACCCCAAGGGACAAAAGGGCAACGTTTAAAACAAGACACGCACAATCCAAAGAATTGCACTAGCTGACATAAGAAGAAATAGGATCCAACACACAGACACACACACACACACACACACACACACGTGTCAAACGCGGCTGAAATGCAAAGGGAACAAAAAAAAATGGCAGTTCAGACAGAAAATTCTCCCTCTCATCTCCGCCCATAAAGATCTAGAAAGAAAACATTAAATCCGTGGCCCTTTCAGGATGCAAAGAAATCTAAGTAAAGCATCTCCTCTCACTCTCCGGGGTTTCTTATAGGAGATCGCAATAAAAAGGCCTTTAAAAACATTATCTGGCACACCGCCGTAGCCTTTCCTCCCCGCGGCTTTTTAAAAGGACCATTATTTTTTTTTTTTTTTTTGCATTGCGCTCCTTAAAAAGTTTGCAAATTCACTAATCTCTCCCTGCTTACAGAATACTTACACAATCATTCCCAGGCCAGGACAAACAGAATAGAACTTTCCTTTGGGCACAGGCTTGT